GACATGGGCTGGGGGGCCCTGGGGTCCCTGGCTCGGGGAGGCCCTGGGGGTCCTGGGGGGCTGGATGATCAGCTGCAGGCATGTGGGAAGTTGCATCAGGCGCCGGCCTGGCTCGGGCGGCGGGGGGGGAGCTGGGGTCATGTTTGCCCTGGCACCGAGCCCGCGCGTATCAGGCAAAGTCCCGGTGAAGCTGGACCCGCCGATGACACAGAAACAAACGCCAACCGGTCTGGGCGAGCCGCGGGCCGGCCCGGGCAATGAGCTCATGGGTACAGATGAGTCAGCAGAAACCGGTGCTGGCCCCGCGCGCCTGCAGGCCTAGTGCCAGGGGTGGGCACGGCTGGGGCGTCGGGACCCAGTGTGGGGTCTGTAGTGCCAGGAGTGGGCACGTCACAGCTGGTGCGGCTGGACCCAGCATGGGGCCCATAGTGCCAGGGGTGGGCATGGCATGGTTGGGGCAATGGGACCCGGCATAGGGCGCATAGTGCCAGGGATGGGCACATCACAGCTGGTGCGGCTGGACCCGGTATGGGGCCCATAGTGCCAGGGGTGGGCATGGCACATTGGGGGCAATGGGACCCCGTGCAGGGCTCATAGTGCCAGGGGTGGGCATGGCTGGGGCAATGGGACCCACTGTGGGGCACGTAGTGCCAGGGGTGGGCACGGCTGGGGCAATGGGACCCACTGTGGGGTCTGTAGTACCAGGGGTGGGCATGGCATGGATTGGGCGTCGGGACCTGGTGTGGGACCCATAGTGCCAGGGGTGGGCATGGCTGGGGCAATGGGACCCAATGTGGGGCCCGTAGTGCCGGGGATGGGCATGGCACGGCTGGGGCGTTGGGACCCGGTGTGGGACCTGTAGTGCCGGGGGTGGGCATGGAATGGCTGGGGCAATGGGACCCGGCGTGGGGCGTGTAGTGCCAGGGGTGGGCATGGCTGGGACAATGGGACCTGGTGTGAGGTCTGTAGTGCCAGGGGTGGGCATCGCATGGCTGGGGCGTCGGGACCCGGCGTGGGGCGCATAGTGCCAGAGGTGGGCACGGCACAGCTGGGGCATTGGGACCCAGTGTGGGACATAGTGCCAGGGGTGGGCACGCCTAGGACAA